TGGGACTTACATTCACGCACTTTTTTGTTTACGAAGCAGCAGTATTTGCGGTATGCAGACCAGTGTGTTTTTGACTGGGTTTTTGTGCCTTCTTTAGACGATGGTCTCGTTGTTGCATTGCCTGACTTAGCTCTGATGTCATCCATAAGATGTTCACTCCCTTGACTTTTAATTTCTTGATCGGCACGTGCAGATCAGCTATGTCAGTAAAACATTTGCACCATTTGTCAATGGTAGCATTAATATTGTTATCATCTACTGCAGCAGACCAATTGTTATTTCTAAGATCTTGCAGAAATGACTCTTTATTGTAGCGTTTGTAAGAGCGGTATTCAATTATGCAAAATTGAGCGGTATTCAATTATAATAAACAAATAGTTTACATGTTTATCGTAAAAATTATGAAATATCCGATTAATATGAGTTTATCTTACAATTCCCCCAACTTCCAATACAAAGCCGACTTCGGTAGTGGTGACTTCCAATACACTTGTCCTTGTGCTTCTTTCGAGCAGGGAGCATGCACATTAAATGTTGTTAGTATCAGTATTGGTATCGGAAGTCGAACTTAAACTCTCTAGTATCTCACTCTCTACTATATAATAAAGCTGTATATATTTCATTGTATCACTGCTTTTATAAATGGAGGATATTATCAGAGACTATTTTAAGAAAAACTGCGAATATAAAACAATTTTAATTAAATAATACCATGCAATTATAATATCGAGAAACACTTTATTGAACAAGCCGATAAGATGTATGGCCTGCAACGACAAGGAAATATGATTGATAGAGACCATGTGAGAAGATGCATTTTTGAAGAGCTAGATGGAAGTGGTAAAATGTTGGACTACAGAGCCATGTGGAGAAGATTGCAATCAAAACATGGCTTGCAAATTCCTTGTTCGGTATAGTTCAAATCACTCTTCGAGAAGTGGACCCAGAAGGATCGAGATTAAGGCGGGCTAATCGTCTTCATAGAAGAAGCTATCTAAATATGATAAACTTAAGCCATATTTGGAAGCCAACGCTTGAGTGCGGATGATAATGGTGGACAGACATTTTGCCGAAAGACGTTTTGCCGAACGGACGTTTTGCCGAACGGACGTTTTGCCGAACAGACATTTTGCCGAACGGACAACTTGCCAAAAATAGAGATATCTTCTGAACTTTAAAGGTTCGCTTACAAGGTTTTGGTTTCTGTGATTAATGTCATTGTCGATTTTGATGACAGAAAGTTTGATAGCGACAGGTTTCGTTTTATATTCTTTCACGTTTTTGACAAGTTTACCGAAATTTCGCAATATAAAGAATAACATCATTCAACATCATTCATGAATGTGATTTCCCCGAGAATGAGATTGTCTATTTAGCGTGTGTCATGGGTTGTGCGTTGTGGGTCAGTAATTCGCAACAAAATTTTAAAACCGTGAACCATGAACTGCCAAAATTTTTGCAGGAATCTTTTTAGCTATAGAAGCCACATTCACAAAAATGCTGGTAGAATTGCTGAACTTGTGGGTGGTTGAATTTAATTACAGTAATTTAATTTAATTTGTAAAAGACATCGGTGACCCCAATTTTTATTTCATAAAATGATTTCTTTTAGTATACTCAATTATTTTGACAATTTAATTAAATACAGATCTAAATGGTGAATTTTTCATTTTTTGAAAACTGTGTCATTCCATTTTTTTTGAAAACTGGCTATAGTATGTTACCAGTATATAAGAGACGTTTATTCAAAAAAGGTTTTAAAAGTTAGATTAGGGTTAGGCGTTGTGAAAAATTTATCATATTGATAAATTTGGACGTGTTTAACAATTTACTCTCATATAGTATATTCAGAGGAAAGTGCGGATGGACGGATGAGAGGGTAAAATGCGGATATGCCAATTAAAATCTTAACCCTTGTCACTGTCATGATTAATTTTCTCTGTTATCCGGTCATGAAATTTTTAATTTTATACTACAATGTGCTATTTTTGAAGGTCTTTCAATACAGTTACCGTTTAAATATACCTACAAGTTTTCAACAAAATTAATTATCGTTTTAAATATACCAAAAATTGTCGCAGAAAAATGGCAATTTCCATACGGCCTACTTTTACGCGAACGTTAATTACAATTGCAACTTTCATGCTTAATTTTGTCTGTTATCTGGGCAGTATACGTCAAAACGTGCGGCTGCAAATTGTCATACACCATAGCGCCAATTTTAGGTATTTAAATGGATAACTGCATTGAAAAGTCCTTCAAAAACAGCACATTTTTTTAAGGATTCTTCAGTCAGGGTGGAGCAAAATTGCCAAAGGGCCCATTCTCTCCTTGCCCTCCCCCAGGATAGTGTACAATCGCCGAAGGTGTGAGCTGAGTACTGTAGGCTCGAGTTAGCTAGGGATGGTTTTAAAATTTGGGTCCCTGAAATAGTATCCTATTCACACCAGTCTTACCCAGGCTCCTTAAGGTCTGGAGATCTCGTGGCTACTATAGGACAAAGAAAGCCAAGAGAAAATGTGATGGGTGGGAATAAGGGGGGTGAAAGCCCAGGAGGTAATGTCCGATAGGCGGAGCATACGCAAGCGGTGGAATAAGACAAAGCATGAAGTACGTCCAGCTGGAACTTCCCACATACGGTCTCTGATCGAACTGACTAATGTATTCATGGTGGTCTGACCTTATATAGTCTGTGTAAGACCGCTGTAAATAGTATCCTATTCACACCAGTCTTACCCAGGCTCCTTAAGGTGTGGAAATCTTGCGGCTACACAGAGAGAACACCCACGCATATAATGGACTAGCACAACCAAGTGTGTACCGAGAACACCCAAACCTCAAGACCAACCAAGCCTCATCAAACCAAACCTGAAAATGAAAACGCAACAAAATCTACTGAAAAACTAGCTAGGTGATGACAATTTGCATTCGACAAGAGCGACAGTGGAAAAGCGGTGACAAAATTGCGTAAAGTATTATAGTATGTGTAAATCAGCTAAGCTTCCCGCATATCTGTTAGCCCCTCTGCTAGGAGCTCTAGGGGTGCACAAGCCTTTAAGACAGTGGCCGGACATTTTGCCGAAAGACATTTTGCCAAACGGACATTTTGCCGACAGACGTTTTGCCGAACGGACGTTTTGCCGAATGGAGAGTTTGACGAATGGACATTTTGCCGAAAATAGAGATATCTTCTGAACTTTAAAGGTTTGCTTACACGGTCAAAGTTTCTGTGATTAAAGTCATTAATTGTCGATTTTTATGACAGAAACTTTGATAGTGAAGTATAGTTTAGTTTTATATTCTTTCAAGTTTTTGACAAGTTTACCGAAAATTCGAGATATAAAGAATAACATCATTCAACATCATTCATGAATGTGATTTCCCCGAGAACTGTGATGAAATTCGCTTACGTCGTCTTTATATACGCTTGTTTGTTTACAATCTGACGTCAAAGCACGTTCCAAACAAATGAGTCATCCGCTGCACCAACAAGCTACCAATAGTCAATATGGTTATGCACTACTAACAACCATTATGCACGGCTAATGATCCATTATGCACTGCTAATGACCATATAATGGTTATTTTACACAATGGTTGAGAATTACACACTTGAGAAATGAGTCACAGTCCCAAACATTTTGACGAAATAACATCTTTATTTTCAGCAAGTTGTCCTTTCGGCAAATTGTCCTTTCGGCAAACTGTCCGTTTGGCAAAATGTCCATTCAGCAAAATGTCCGTTCGGCACAATGACCGTCGGCAAAATGTCCGTTCGGCAAAGTGTCTTTCGGCAAAGTGTCTTTCGGCAAAATGTCCGGGTACCTTTAGGACATTAGTCAGATGAAAATAATAGCTGGCTGTGTGTGTGAATGAAAATCCAAATCATGAAGCTGGAAAGTTCAATTAACTTGACAATTGATTCACGCCATATATCCTCATGTCAATTATTCCAAGCACCGCGATACTTCGTTCTAGGGAACAAAAATGGTTTGGGACATGAGTTGAAACATGTCCGAGATGTACCAGATTGGCACAAATTTGGCTTTATGATTGATGTTACAAGAGCCAGTGCCGGATACCGACAGAAAATATAATATTCTAGATTTGAGTATGTGCATGCAGAAAATGATTGATCATGCAAGGAGATATGCAGACTAATCATGTGTATAAACATACAGCGGACAACTTATAGGCACTTTTGGCTTGCGGCACAATAAGAAGGTGAAGAACTTCCCAAGTGATAGAGGTGCTTCATTCGGCTATACAGTATTTGGTAAGAGATTTACTTCACAGTGAATTGAACTTAAAGTGAAGGAGCGAAAGGAGTTGAACATAGATTGCTGTATTTGCGGGTTGGGATAAACGATGTTTAAACAAAGAATTTGATTGGTAGTTAAGTATATAGTTTACACTGATGTTAATGTACAACAGTAAAACCCAACTAGAGGTTGCAAAGCTTAAAACAAATAGCAGCTGTAAGTCTTAATGGATAGTAACATCGATAAGCAACAACCGAAAATGGAGTGATTTTCATCGCACTCAGGTATTGCGGATTCTGCATGGCTACAACGAGGTTGAGTAGACCAGCTAACAAAGAATTATAATTAAATTACATCCAATCACAAAACCATTAACAAGGTCACACCGACGAATTTAAGAAGAAAGTAATATGAAAGAAACAATATGTATGAAAATGTATCAACATCGTGCAGAAACACCACCATGCATGAATAACCAAGAACAAACTCACTAAAAGAAGAACAAGTTATATAAATGAAGCTAACAGAAAAGACAAAGTATATATGGCGTATACTCGTGAAGTAGAAAAGAAATTATCAAAAGACTGCATTCACAATAAATTGCCTATAAATTAAGATATTGAAAACCAAAACGCGGAAGACCATGACACTCATCGAACACCGGCATCAGAGAACCGATACAATTGGAACTGGAAAACAGAAAACCAAGTGAAGACACATAATAACTCTAATGTAGGCATGAAAGAGTCCGAACTTCCATTGACAAACAGATTTGAAGGCCTTCAGGATGAGAATGATATGACCACAAATTGTAACTTGGACACTGGTGTCAGCAGTGAAAACTCTAAGTCTCTAAATCATGCTACAGAACATTCTGTGTCCGGTGTAAGACCTGTGCATAGAAAGCAAAATATTATACAACAACAAAAAAATCCTAAACAAAAAACTACAATTGTACTCGGCAATTCAATGGTCAAGCACCAGAAAGGATGGGATATCGGTGAAGCAGCTGGACACTATGTGGTCGTTAAAGCTTTTTCAGGCGACATGGTTTGTTACAGCAAACCAAGTATTCTTCAAGCACCTGATCAAATAATTCTACACTGTGGTACAAATGATTTACGCAATTCTGAACCAGAAGCAATTGCAAACAGGATTATTATATAGTTAGTGTCAAAGTTCAATTTTTCTGTTTGCCGATTGGTCAAAATCGTGTCATGTGCCGGTCCACAAAACGTCATGTTCCACAACCGGTCCACAATCAAACATTTATTGACCGGTCAATAATAAAATGGGTGCAATACGTATGCATGTCAACCATGAAGTTCCAAAGTTCATTTTTTAAAACTTTTTACTAAACATTTGCGGCGTTCCATTTATCCAGTTTTGGTTTCAAATTAAGATAACTCCAATAACCGGTGAATTATTCATACTTTGACACTTATATACTATATAACAAAACACTTATTTACTGAGACCTCAGGAAAGCAGTGTGTTTTGATCCAGCTTTAAACGAGAAAATAAGAGGTACTAATGTTTTATTAGCTAGATTATGTAAACAAAAAAAACTTGCATGTAATTAACCACTCAAATATAACAACTGAAAAACTAAATATAGTCTGACGTATACGCATTCATTTTTGAGAAAATCATGCACTTTGTGAAGAAAGCACCAAATTTGGCACAGTTATAGTTCTTGATGAGGCGAAAAAAACTGCATATGGAGGCAACTCCAAAAATTCAAATTATAGCCGTTAACGGCCCATTTTCCGTGAAGGCGAGGCAGAAAACCGGAAGTGCAATATATATCTTGATTTTTTATTTGTAAATTGGCTAAAAAAACTTTTTTGTTCTCAGATAAGCTTTTTATGTTTATTTTAGCCTATGTACTTTTTAGTGTATGAAACTAGTTCATTTATTACAATTTAGCCGATGTCAATGGTGAGAATATGGTCAAATCAACTCATTTTTAATCAGTAAAAGGCTGTTCTCTCTTTTTTAATAGACCCATAACATCATTTAACTGTACAAATATGTAGACAAGGTGGCAAAGGACTTACAATAAAGTTTTCTGCTTGACCATTTGCAATAGAGAGACCTTGCGACATGTTTTATGCAGGGAAATAAACGTGTATTAAGCAGCGATTACTGCGCCTATATTAATTGGGGACTTATATTCGGGCTTGTATTTGGAATGAGGTGAGCATTAGTACATGTGGTGGGCTTATACACAGGGGGCTAATATTCAGGGGAGGCTTATGGTTGGAGGTTTATGGGTATAGGCTTTTATTGACTTAAAATTAAAATAGTGGTTTCTCAACAATTTTATTCACCGAAGTACACTGTAAGGAAATAGTTTGATAATTTGAAGTAGTTTGTGTATGACATATATCATCTAATATCTCTTTCAACACACTTAATAAAACCTATAATTGCCAATTGTAAAAATTGTCAAACTCAAAAGACTCAAAGTATGGCATATTAAAAAAATTATTTTGCTGATTCTCAGCCTCTTCAGTTTGAAATAAAATAATGCTTGAAATAAAATAATAATTTATGAGTCCCCCCTCCATGTCATCCAAGGATTGACACCCTTCATTTCAGTAACAATAACAATTCCTTGCTAAAGTACCAATATATAGGAGTACATGACAGGCTCTGAAATTTGCAGTATCCTGATATCCACAGGACACCAAAAATTTGGTGTTGGATACCAAACTGTGAATGACTTGTATCCAGACTGGATATTAAAGAAAATTTCAAACATTAATCAAGAAAATGTTAAACACCTTTGATGGGTGACTATCAGCTTGGTTCCAGTCATTCATCATAATGATTGGACGAGGATGCAAAAATTTGTTGAAGGATTATGTGCAATTGCATTTCAGTACGGTATATTTAATGAATTGTTTAGTTGTTGACTGTTGAGTCTCATGTTTTTATTGCAATTCTTACAGTGAGAGTTATGGAAACTTATTTGTATAGGGGGGGGGGGGAATATAATACTTATGGTACTGGTGGTATCCAGAAGTGGGATACTGGATTCTTGGGGGGGGGGATACTAAGCTTTAAATCCTGGTATCCCAGTTTGATAATGAGAAGAAAAAAAAACTTCAGACTCTGCATGGAGGGCTTATATTGGAATGGCTTAAATGTTATTTAATTTAGTACAATTATATATGGTGAGGTTTGGGGGGGAGGAGGTTGCTTGTGGGGGCTTATCAGACATTGGAAATCTAACGCTGGCGGCATTCGGTATCATCTTTGTGAAAGCATATATTAATTGTGTTTTTTATTTTAATTGATTACTCTCAAAGGACAATGTGCTTTGAATGGAACACATTCAGTTAACTATGCAGGCATGAATGTACTGTACACAAAATTGATATTGTAAAACTTGTTTCCTGTTGTAGATGTCATGCAGAAGTTATCTCACAAGTGAGCAAAGGAAATCCTTCAATGCTTATGGGCAGAGGGAATGACAACACTAAAACAAAAGGACCTTGTCAAGAAGGCAGTTGAAAAAAGTGGTCTTGATGAACAGTTAGGGTAATTTACAAATATCCTTTTTTTGCCTGACATTGGATTTTTGATCTTATGGGTCAGGTTATTGTGTGCATGCACAGTTTAGTAAATTGATTTTTAAATTCACTAATTCAATTTTGCTGTCAGAACCAGATAAGGAAATGGGGTTAACTATTTCTTTTATTTATATCTGTTGGTAGCAGTAGAGTAGCCAGCCCGACGATTTACTGTAGTCCTGCTATGCAAACATTTCTGTGTACAATTTCTAAAGAAATGAATAATGATAATAATTTTGAACTTGCATAGCAGGACTAAATTGTCGGGCTGGCTACACCACTGGTTGGGAGCACAAAGCACTGTAGTAACTGTGGCCAAATAGATCTAGTTCATGTTCTTGAATAATTGAGATACTGTAGTAAGATATTTTATGCTCAACATACATTGAGGATGGTCTGGTACATAGTGTTGAGAACCAACATGGCCTTGTCAAGGAACAGGCAGATGATCAATGTTTTGCATAATGAAATTCAAGAAAAGAAAAGAAAAGCTCCACAAAAATTTTGACAAAAAGAGACCTTTCTATTCTGATATTTGACCCTTTAAGTGGTAATGTGCCTACTTTATTATTTTACTCTGTCTAATGGCAGACAATTTTACTTGTCAGAGGGAGAGTGCTTCCACTTAGTGGGTTAATGCCCCCTGCATCTTGTTAACCCTGTTAACTCTGCCCATGCATCTTGTTAACCCTTTAAGTGGCAGTGTGCCAAGATGCGCCCTACTTTATTATTTTTTAAGCCACACGATTTTACTTGTCAGGGAAAGAGTGCTGCGACTCAATGGCTTAAATTGTTGGTTTGGATAAAAACACAATTCGTTGTAAACTGATAGAAGAGGGGGCTAAATAGAGGGAAGTGTGGCTAAATGGAAGAATATATGTCTCTACAGTAGAGACAAGCTGGTCATAAAAATTGATGATTACCAACACAGATTATTTGGCTGATTGTACTGGCCCAATTAATTGACATTTGGTGATTATCATTATGTTGCAAGTCACCAGCCCCGTATAGTCGTTATAGATGACTGTGCATTAGGTTAAATTCATTTATTAGCACTTTGTCTTCCTTGAATAATAAAAAAGAGTTGTAATAATTTATAATCGTTCAAAATCATCTGCATTCATTCAAATTTTTGGTTATGAAACGTCCCTTTAGTCTTCAATACAGATGCATCTCAGAATAATTAGAATGTATTTGATAATATTTCATTCCACAAATTTGATTAAAAAAGTTGAAATTTTATTCCCAGCAAATCATTACATGTAAAAATAAAATATTTGTAATTTTTTGTTTTAACATCATAACTACCACGGCTGTTGCTAGAGGGGGGGGGGGTGAAATAGGGTGAAATTTTAAGAAAAGCAATATTAATTAGCGACTGAAATATTGTCAGCAAATGCGGTACTACAGTACACACCTCCATGCTTTAGCCTCTTTGCGACGATCCTGTATACTACAATACAAACATATGTGCGCAGACTAGTTTAAATGGCCAGATAATATTCTATTTTTTTGAGATGCACCTGTATTATATCATGCTGCATGATAATCAACTAAACTTTCAAAATGTTTCATAAGACATAAATCAAACCAAATCACTTCAGATGTTAAAGATAATTTCAAAATGATTAATTTAACTTCACAATGTACGTGAAGGTTAAATGGTAATGAAATAACTAATTGTTAATTAATTACTGTAAAATAAGGGTTTTTCTGCAACTCTTTTCATTCTTGATCAGATATGAAAATTAAATAAATATATTTAATATGCATAATGTTTGATATGCAAATTAAATGAACCTATTACATCACAAGTGGGTAAACAATTTTGAATGATGGCAGTCATACCAAAGTCTTAAAGCTCACTGACACTGTTTAAAGTACATGAAATAATTCGTATAGGTAATCGCATGGGGCCGAGTAAAATTAAGGTTTAATTTCACGCGTGTTTTCAAAGTTCACTTTGTGAAACTTTGAAAACAAAAGTGAAATTAAACCTTAATTTTACGAGGAACTATGCGATTACTTGTTAATCATAGAGGGCAAAATTTACTCGTCAGTTAATTGTGAACTTGTAAAGTTCTTGAACTTTGTATGTCTCCATGTCTTCGCCGATGTTCCTTAATTATGTAATGCGGCCCATTTCCTAAATACTCCAAACAATAGATTTGTACTTTTTCTAGTGTTCAAGTTCTCACTAGAAGTTTTTAATTCTTCATTCAAAAACTCATTAATAATTCATGAAGCAATTATCCAATCTTGAGTAAGAAATTAGTCACGTGCATACGTCTTTATACCAGCTAAAGAACACTTTAACAAAAGACCATTGTTATGCAAAGTATATAAAGATATTTATATAAAGATTTTTATATAAAGATTTTTATATAAAGATTTTTATATAAAGATTTGACTTATTATATGCATACATTTTTGAAGTCATTTAAAACCTAATAAAACACTCCTGCTCGTTTTTTAAATAGTACATAACATTATCTGACACGACAAAGCGAGAAGCCATTGTTCACGCACTTGCGTCTCTGCCAATCAGGTACAAGTAATTTTGCTCTGAATTAAGAAAAAATGCCGTCCTCATTAGCAAATCATATTTGAGTAATTTTCCTCTCTATATGATTAAAGTCAAAATCAGATATTTCTTTGACTAATTTTCCATACAAAAACGTAAAGTGTGAAGAGTACTGTGGAAAAAGAAAATTTTGTGGAATGACTTTTTCTACAGTTTATGGAATTTTTTCAATCTAAACATACTTACATTTTGTTTCTAGTACTCTTTGACATTAATCTTTTTATCAGTGGTCGACCGGGGGCATGATTTTGGCCGGGGCCGGGGACTGGTCGAACATTGATATTATGTGATATTATGTGATGTTGAGCGATGTTATTTAAGCGGGATTTGGAAAGGCCAGTGGAATTTACTGGACAGCGGTTTATTGCTATCATCAGCCATATTGGAAACATTTTACGAGAATAAATGGTAGTGATGGGCGATACCAGCTTTTTTGGTTTCGATATGATACCAGTCCGATACCATGAATTTTGGTCGATACCGATACCAAAATCAATACCGATACTCAATTTTTTCCATTTATTAAAATAACTTTTAAAACATGAACATTAATGTTTAAAACAAGTCAAAGAATACTCTAACTGGAGTACCTGCCAAATAATCGAACATAACATTTGCAATAGACCTTTCCCAGGATACGTGTGGCCGCGCATGAAAGCGAGGCTCTGGTAAGTACATGGCGTCAATTTTCAATATGGCGGAAGCAAGGTCGGAGCTTTTTAGTACTCCGCCGTCAAAACAAACAACGATTATTAAGAATGAAGCAGTTCCAAGGGGAGTTATTTATTGCTGTGTTCCGCTTTGTAAAAGCTACAGTGGAAAGGTAGTCGAGGGAAAAAAGGTTACTCTACACAGAATTCCCTTAGACGAAAAATATAAACCGAGCAGCTGGATACAACAACTTCGCAATGTACGAAATGATTTTACTGCCAAAGCTGGAACACGAGTGTGCAGCTTGCACTTTGTGGGCAAGAGTGGGCCCAAACCATGGTGTCCAATTCCAACATTATTCCCCTCGAAGCCAGCACCTGAACCTTGTGAGAACACAGCAGTACGAAGACGACTAAATTTTGATTCAGGTGTACAATACGGCGAACCAGAAAATATTGAATTAAACGCCTTGGACTTTGAGCATTGTTTTCACGATTACTTGCCAAAAGAGGCATTTAAGCCTGCATCTGGAGATATTTTGTGAGACACGACGAGAGACACAGGTTAGTGACATATTTTAATAGTGTAGTTTGCCATACGGTAAACATTATCTACATTTTTTGTAAACATTGTCTACATTTTTTACATTGTCTACATGGGCCATTCAATTTAATATCCACACCCCCCTATGGACGAGAATTTCTGAGGGGGTTCAAAAAACCCATTTCTGAGGGGTTATACCCATCGGCATCCTTTGATCTTAGCGTTTTTTCTGAGGGGTAAGGCAAAAATTTGTAAATTTCTGAGGGGGTGAGAGTGTTGGCACTTTGATCTTTTTTTCTTAGGGGTTCAATCTTTACTTATCTCGTCCATATGGGGGGGGGGGTGAAATTTAAATGGAATGGCCCCATTTTAGACTACTACTTTTTGCAGACTACGGGAATATTAGTATTATAAATAGCATTATATTAGTTGTTCTTTTGATATGCTAAAAATTCCTAATGCTTCCTACATGTATATTCATGTTGTAATAGTTTTTTCTTTTAATGTTTATATAGGTGTCCAGTTTTGTTCCGCTTCAGTGGACAAACATGTTCAAACCGAAACTTTGCAAGTGAAAGAGATTGGAGTGCAAGTGAACCTGCCTTCACTCACTGCTGAAGATCTTAAAGGAGATGATCAAAAGACTAGATTTTATACAGGATTTGTAAATTTTGGAACATTCATGTTGATTTTCAACAATTTGCTGCAAGTGGCTAGCAAACTAAATTACTGGACTGGAAAGGATTCCCTTAAGGATAAACCATACTTAGAAGATGAAAATAGGCAGAAACCTGGACCCAAACGAAAGATGAGGTTGATTGATGAATATTTGACGGTCTTCATGAGGCTACGACTTGGATTACTGGAGCAAGATTTGGCAGAACGGTTCAGCGTTTCAATAAGTACAGTTTCTCGGGTTCTTATTACGTGGTATAATGTACTTGCTGTTCATCTAAAGGATTTAATTGTATGGCCAAGTAAAGAAATGATTGCTGCAAGTATGCCTCAGTGTTTCAACAAATTTCCAAATACTTGAGTAATATTATATTGTACTGAATTCTTTATTGAAACACCATCCTCGTTGGTTAACCAGTCTATAACTTACTCCAGCTACAAGTCACACAACAATTTCAAGCTTCTTGTAGGCATCAGTCCTAAAGGAGCAGTGACATTCCTGTCTCAGCTCTGGGGAGGAAATGCATCTGATAAACAGATTGTGAAGGAAAGTGGTTTGCTTAATCTTAAGGGGTTTACCATTGAAGATCTTCTAGACCCACTTGGTGTTACTTTAAACATGCCTCCAATGAGAGATTCAAACCGACAACTTTCAAGAAAGGGAGGTTGAGCAAACAAGGAGAATTGCAGCTGTGCGAATACATGTTGAACGAAAAATGGAACAAATTAAAAACTTCCGTATTCTTCATGGAATCATCCCTGCTACTGAGTGGCACAATGCAGATAACATTGTGTTAATTTGTGCTGCTCTCACTAACCTTGAGCCACCACTTGTTACATAACTTATCCCTTATGAAAAAAATCCTATAGGATCCTGTAGGAATTCCTATAGGGATGAGCCAAAATCTAATTGGAATAAACTCCCAATAGGAATTCTTTAAATGTGCAGTTCAGCCTTTTGAATGATGGTTTTTAAGGGGCATTAAAACTAGGAAAATCAATTAATCATTATAATTCAAAATCAATGTACTGAATGTTTTTAACATTAAAAAAGTTAAACAATGTTTAAAAACAATGAAATCACTGATATTGAATTATGCTTAATTGATTTTCATAGTTAGTTTCTTCAATTAAATGGGCTGCAATGCCCCTTAAAAACCATCATTCAAAAGGCTGAACTGTGCCTTCCAAAATCTAATAGGAATTCCCATTGAAATTCTTATAGGAAACAATATAGGATTTTTTGCAAGGGTATATACTGTACCTATATAAATGTATCACACATAATTATCATTCACATAGTATTAATTGTATTTATTTCCTTATTTAATTAATGCACCTATTGTATCAATGTAAGTCCCAGAGGGGGGAGGGCATATGATCTTCATTTATAATCCTATCCCCAGGAATTTGAATAAAAGTAGTAGTGGGGACATTTGACACTATTTGAATTCCTGCAAATAGTCTAGGCAAGCTTTAAATTATCAAAACATTCAGGAAAGCTATGTTTAAATGCACAAGCCCTACCTTTTTTATTACATTTGATTGATGTTTATTGCCCCACAGTTGGGCATTTGATAACATTTTCTTGTCAAAATCAAATGCCCCACATGTCCACCCCCCCCCCCTCTGGACTTAACATTGATAGGAGCCTAATAATATAGTGTAGCACAGTACAGTGCACAACATGTTAATAAATATACAGAAATTTGTTGGTTCTCAAAACCTTTGAAGTAATGTTGGCATGATTTTTGAAAAATAGAAATGTGTTAACTTTCTTAAGGACAAATCATGCCAGTTTTTATTAAAATAGATTCTCTCAACATGTATTCCTTCGTCTCCGAACTCCAAATCAGTCATCAGGACAAAATCATTCCATTTCAGACCTGATATTGCACATTGGCCTTGTACTTGGTGGTAATAACAATGATCTGGATCGAGTATCAGGCTATCTTCCTGTTTCATTAAACAAAAAGGCTTTTTCTTGCCTGAACTGGGTTCTCTTTTAGCATGGTATGTTTGTAGAGGTGTCATCCCCTTACCACTCTCTATGCACTTTATCTCAACACATCCATAAGGCGGGTTACTGGTGGGATCAAAGACAACCCTGTCAGGGGAAGCACCAAGCCAACTGTATTTTGGGTTGACAACTAATCCACAAGGAAATATCTGAAGTCCAGTATGACCATGCCTCTCTTGGTATTGCACATAGTATTTGGCCACAGGATCCTCATTCTCACAGCCATATCTAAGTGAACTAACATTTAGATTCTTTGTGGCACCAGTGGTCATTGCATTGACAAGTTTTGAACAGTCTTCCTTTTTTCTCTTAAGTACTTTTCCGAAATTAGAAGATGTCAGTCGATACTGCCTATGGTTGTACCATGCAACACTATTCGACTGGTTTCGAGTGGAAGATTCAATTTTGAATGCTTTCTCAAGGTCTACCTTTACTGAATCATTAAAAAATTGTCTGGCATCCTCAGATAAATTTTCTGGAAGTTCCATTTCTCTGACAGAATCATCGATTAGTGGAAGCTTTATTGGAATATACTTTGAAGTGGAACTGCTTGCTACTTGTGCTATCTGTGATTCACGAACACTTAAAATATTTTGTTGCAAAGATTGGAGTGGGATTCGTGTTGCATTTTTCAAAGGGCTCTGGATGGGACAACTGATTGTCATAACTGTTGACATATGATTATTCGGAATAATACCAATAGGGCTTGGAGTAGTCGGTGACATTAAAACTTCTGGGGTAGTGGGTGATTCCAAAACTTTGGTTGTTGAAACTTCTTCATAAGCCCCAACATTGTTATCACATGAAATGTCATATGACATTTCTGTGTTTTCTTTGCCCTCTTTTTCAACAACAGTAAAAAGGACACAGTGTGGATTTACAGTTTTGAGGCTATTGGTGAGATTGAGCAAAAACGAGTTCTGTTTTGCTGAGCAGGCATTGTACTCACCAGAACTAGGTACTGCTGGTAGCCTTGGCTTTTTCCCATACTGATGTTTAACTGGTCTCATTTGACTTATTTCCTTGGGACTGAGTTTTCTGCTACGTGGTTTGTTCCATTCACACGGCTTTGATGTACACGAAGTGCTACTGGAGGAGGGTTGATTATAGGTCTTGGCATAATCCTCAACAGCAAACAGTAATGCTGCAATATGATTGCATGCTTCACCTAACCTACAAACAGAAGCAAAATTAATTAAGAAAACTATGTGTCAACCAAGAATATTATACATCCAACTATTGTTTGTTTGTTTGCTTGCTTAATATCTTATTTATAATTTAGAATATCGTAAAAACATATATAACAAGAACGCAAACAGATGCATGTTGCTTACCCTGCTGTGCAGTTACAATCTGCAGATAAGACTTTAGCAGTTTCTTTAACGACGGAAATCCAGGTCTCATAAACACGGTCTGTGCGCATTGATGGTAAAATCTTTGCTTTTACGAAGCAATAATTACTAGTTGCGTTAATAATACTAAGTTTAATATCTTGTACATGGCCATCCATGAAAAATTTGAAAGCTTTTAGCTGTTTAAAACACTTCATGTCTTCTTTTGCGTAGAATTTGCATTTTCCATACACTAAATAGTCCTTAATTCCATTAACAGTTATTACTGGTAGATATGAGAGATCCTCGGTCCAGTTGTTTAGTGTTTTAGGATTTGGGAGATCCTCAAACGGAGTTTTAAGCTTGTCGATCGTTCTTTTCTCTCGCTCATTTTTCTCTCTCATTTGCCTGTTCACAAGTAATTCAGTGCCGTCTTGTTCGGCTTTTGTTACACGAGTGATCAAGTCTTGTTTTCTTCCTGAAACTTTAAGTCCACGAGCTTTAAGCCACGTTTTTAATTCGTCTTTCTTGCACCCTTGCAGACTTTGTTGATCCGCCATATTGAAAATTGGCGCCATGTACTTACCAGGGCCTCGCTTTCACGCTCGGCCACACGTATCCTGGGAAAGGTCTATACATGCCAGCTTAATTGTCAGTATTAAAAGGTGAAAAATGGGCAAGCAGACCACAGTCGATAAGCAAAATTGTCTAGCTTGAGACTTCAGAGTTAAATATTGTGTGCAGAACTTAAAGTAGGGAGTGTTATAAGGAAAATTACATCTAAATATGTCAACATGAAACATCATGGGCATGAAACATCATGAGTCTAGCTGGACACTTTCCTTGGCAAATAAAATTGTCCAACATTAGGCAAGATACAGAAACATTTAAATATTAACAAACTGCTGAAAATTGGGCACTTCGCAGTGAAATGGATAATTTTATTAAAAAAAAAAAACATCAGTTCACCCTTGTCGTGACTTGCCGGCGTGTCTGTAAAGATATATAAAATGTAGCCCAAAGGTTGTTACATATATTATTAAGCAGATCATGCAGGTGGTATAGATAAATGTATTCATATATTATAAACTTTGAACAAGCAAACAAAGGACTTTGACTGTTTCCAGTTAGAGCACTTCCATAATCAAGTTGCCACACAACAAATTGATCAAATTGACATTTTTACCTATTAACCGACCCACCCGGCATTAAAAAATTCAAGCATGGCATGCAAATTAAGGAAATTGAAATTAAACCTCTATACCCATTCCATTGATATCCTAGTGCATTGTACTATTACCCTCTGATGTTAGACATGGTAAAATCAAACAGCACTGAAAGAATCCAGCTTTGATGCAACCAACACCTGGTGTTAGACTGAGGGTGAAAAAATTAAAGTAGGGTATATAAGTGCTATAATGGTAAAGGGCATGAGACATTCCTTTTCCGGCCGATAAGGGACCGGTCATTATTTATGGCGGGGGGTGGCACCGAAGAGAAATAGGTTGGGTAAACAAAATTTTGAGTAAGTAAAAGGTTGGTTAAATGAAAAACAAAACAACTCAAGGGTTGGGTAATAAAAATTTCCAAAGCATGACCCACTGAAATATATTGGAGACTGAAAAGCAATGTCAACAGTCATTTGTCAATACAATATGTGAATCAATCAGAGTCACTATCTTGATCATAGTTTGACAAAACAAATTGTGTTTCCAAAGAAAGTACATGTGCAGACAACATGAAACTTTAGACTGCAGAAAATTTCGCAAGCCGTTATCAAATTCATGTCACTGAAGTGATAATGGACATGTGTGACAACTGAATGGTATCCTTTTGTTAAGTTTTTGGCCAGGGGTGGGTAGTTATTTTTTAATTGATATTTCAGGTTGGGTAGTCAAATTTTTGTCTTTTTAATGGTTGGGTCAGCAAAATTTTTGACACGGAAAACATTTCTTTTCGGTGCCACCCCCCGCCATAAATAATGACCGGTCCCTAATTTCAGCAAATATACTAGATAGATATAAGTAGAATATAATATAATGACATGTCTTGCAAATATAATGACATATCTTGTGAAATGTTAACACTGACCAGTGAAGGTGAATCATATTTGATTCAAAACATACAGTTTTTATAAATTGTGTGTTAATTACTGTATTTATATTATATATTATATATATATATATAATGCACTCCTTATTCAGAATAACTTTTATTCTATGACTATTGTAACTGAGACATGCACATTTAGCTGGGATATGCCTAGGTATTTATAAGCATATAAAGAATTGAGGATTGAAACTTGAGTAGATGCCAAGCTATAATATATTATTTAATTTTGATACAAGAAACACTGCCACTGCAGCACTGCTCACTGGAATCTATCATATACACAACTATTAACTATTTGGCATTAGTTACAATAAACATAATTTAATATAAAGACTGAGTCAAATGTAAGCTTTGAATTAAACTATTGTTTTATATCATCGTTTTAAATATTGTCGCGGCAAATTCAAATTTTAAGCCGAAACATCAAGCAAGTGCATTCTCAAAATTCACGAATGAAGATTGAAGTAGAAAATATTTCCCTTCAAAATTGCTCTATTATACACAAAACATAACAAGATTCTTAGCTGGATATTACTCAGTCATCCCTGATGTTTCATCTTCGCTTATTAAGGCTTCATCGGCTCGAAATATCGAGCGAAATATTTTATTTATTTTTATTTATTTATTTATTTATTTATTAACTTCAGCCGTCAACAGAAATATACATGTACAAACAGGAAGACGGTTCAGGAACACTAACACAGCGTGAGCCAATTACGTTAGTGACCTGTTACAAAACATCATTATACAAAAATTCACAACTTATAATTTAAATATCAAACAAGAATATAGTATAATCCTTTTCATCCGAAGTAGAGAGAGAGCGTAAAAATTTCGAAATTTGGGAAAACAAAATGACAAAATTGTCAAACAGAATAAATGCGAGAATATATATAGGTTCTGTATCCGTCGATAAATTAAATAAAACGAAAATGGCGAAAAACCCAACTCTACATCGGATAAAATGAAGTATACTACATTGAATAATTGCCAAAATAACTAGTTCAATTAAGAACAACATTTCATTGTTGCAGTAAGCTGCCTGGCTTTATGACATTTCAGACAAACTGATTTCCACGTCTGCGGAATTTCCTGGTCAAACACGGTTAATGTTGCGGAGTGGTAATAGTTTATAACACGTGATTTAAAGCTCTGCAATGATAGTTCTGGTTTCCGTAGCTCGTCTGGTAGGCAGTTCCACACACGCGATACTCGTATAAGATAACTGTTCTGGTGACATAGCGTTCTTACTTTAGGAATGTTATATTTTACAAGAGAGTTATTAGAAGAGCGTAGATTTATGGTTGAAGTCAGAGTGTCAACTTCTTCGGGTAGGATATCAGTTTTAACCAAGCCATATTTGCATTTGAAGAGGAACAGGATATCAAGATATTCGTGCCAGTAACAGAGAGGTAGCATATTCAACGCAGCGAGTCTCGTTTTGTATGGCATGTCCGTTTGGAATGGTAAAGACAGTACGAATTTGGTCGCTCTACGTTGTATGCGTTCGAGCTCCATACACATGGTGATAGTCTGTGGACACCACACTTGTGAGGCATAAGCAAGATGGGATCTCACAAGTGTAAGGTAGAGACAGCGTCGGGTATTTACGTTTTTGACTTTGATAGTCGAACGTTTGAGCATACCAAGTAGGCGGTTGGCTTTCGTAATTTGCTCGTAAATATGAGTGTTCCATCTGAGATCTGAACAAACCGTCACTCCGAGGTCTTTCTGCGAGGAAACATGCTGCAAAGTTTTACCGTTGACAATGTATTCAGCAACAAGAGGATGACGTTTTCTCGTAACGCTCAGAACTTTGCATTTTTCGGCGTTGAATTTGAGCCTCCAAAACTCAGCCCATTTCTCCACGTTTCTCGCTTCAGCTTGAAGGACACAGGCGTCAACCGGTGATTCAATAACTGAGATGCATTTTGTGTCGTCGGCAAACAAGGAAACGTCAACAGCGGATGAGGTTATTGATTCGGGAAGGTCGTTTATGTAGATGAGAAACAGGAGTGGACCGAGTATTGATCCTTGCGGAACGCCGGAGGAAACTGGACGTGTCTCTGAAATCTCACCGTTGACTAGTACACGCTGTTGTCGTCCGGATAAATAACTTTTAAACCACGTTAAAATATTGTCCTTAAGTCCAAATCGTTGGAGTTTCTTTAAAAGATGGCTATGATTCACCGTGTCGAACGCTTTAGCAACATCGAAATACAAGATATCTGTTTGTTTCCCTGAATCCAGGTTTTGACTGATGCGGTGAAGAACGGAAATGAGCTGACCTGTGCAAGACTTTCCTCTCAGAAAACCATGCTGTACGACGGATATCATGTTCTCTATATGACCAATCAGACGGTTGTAAACACAACGTTCTAAAACTTTCGCAACAACGCACATGAGGGAAATTGGTCTGTAATTCTCAACAAAACTCTTGATTCCTTTTTTATGAAGCGGGATGATGTTGGACAGTTTCCATTCTGATGGTAGGGAGGCCTGCTTTAAGGATTTGTTGAAGAGACATGTTAATGATGGTGTGATGGAGTGCGCACATTCTTTTAGTAAGCGGATTGGGATATTATCTGGACCAGATGCTTTACTAGGATCGAGGCAATGAAGAACGTCATATACTTCACTTGGGTCTAAAATAATGTCAGAAATAGTCTCTTCACATACAGGTGTAGTGGGGATTGAAATATCATCACCTTCTGTTAGAAATACTGAGTGGAAGTAGTCATTGAACATTTCTGCAGCTTGTTTTTGACTAGTGGAATCTAAGCGTGGGGAGTCTTCGTTGCCTGTCGCGACGGAAACTTGCTGTAGAATACGGCTGGATTTAGTGGTTGTTTTAAAAAATGACCAGAACAGTTTCGGATTGGATGGTAGAGCTTCGCTTAGGGAACCAAAGAACTTTTCCCGACTTTCTTTGATTAATCTCTTAGTTGTACGGCGGAGATTCTTGTATTTTTGTACAAGTGCAGCAGAATTTGTTCCGCGACGGATTTTTCGCCGTAGTGTTTCTTTCTTTTTGATCAAAAATTTTATCTCACCGGTCAACCATGGTGGATTGTACCTTCCTTTTACAATCTTTGTTGGAATACATTCGTCAGCTACAGCAAGGAAAGTGTCTCTCCATAAATTCCAGTTCTCGTTAATGTCGGACATCGATGTGGGATCGCTAAATTCAAATTCAATCGATTCAAAAGTACGGTTCATTTTTTCAAAATCCGCACGGTTGTAATCGTAAACCGATCTTTTGAGCTTGTGAGAAGGTGTTGCTGTACTTTGAAACTCAAAGAGTATGCACTTGTGGTCGGAAAACAAATTGAAATTGGTTGGATCAATTACTTCAATGTTGTTAACGTTGTCTGGAATGTTTGTCATGATAAGATCAAGAACGTTAGTTTCTCTTGTTGGAGCGAAGATCAATTGACTTAAGTAATGGTCAGATAAGGTGTTGTACAAAAATCTCTCGGATTCACCGGTTGGGATAACCATGCTTTCAGACCACGAGATTCGCGGGAAGTTGAAATCACCAGTCATTATAATTTTATCGTAAGTGTCCATGATGTAGTCTAAGAACTTTTTAAAGGAGAGAAGCCATTTTGACGAGGAGTCAGGAGCTCTGTAGCAGCAGACAACAAGGATTCGCGCATTGTTAGTGGCGCATTCAACGCAGACGATTTCTAGTTTAGTATCTGATTGATTAAAGCATACTTGCTTGGTTTCTGTAAAAGAAGACTCTTTTGTAGCTATTAGTACGCCACCGCCGGTTTTACATTTACGGTCGACACGGAAAACGTTATAATCTTGACGTAAAATTTCTGCATCAAAGTGTTTATCGGAGAGCCACGTTT